AAAATCGTTAATCGATGTTTAGCGACAAGTTATGATTTCCCATGAAAGAAGATTTATGCAAGGAATGCAAGAAGTGATTTTATTTCTTTTTATGTAGGATAAAAAACTTTTCAAAACTTTTATCGCAATCCGTTTGGAACTCTTTTACGGCTAAAAACCCATTTTGAAAATCAGAAATTGTAAATTTTATAAATGAAGCGACATGAAGATTTGCAGTTGAATTCGTCTTTTAATATTGTATTATTTTCTTATCGAATACATGTACTGTTTATACATGTACATACTTTGGGTAAATATTTACAATACCATGTGTGTATGGTGAGACTAAGGAAGGACTGAAATCAATCATATTTAATTTAAAGTCAAGATGTTATAACGGTAAATTTTCAATTGACATAGAACATTTTCGTAGAATGACTGACGTATGTAATGTTTTATTGTTTACATTACAATGAGCGCAAAAATGAAAGTAGATTTAATTAAGTACATTGGATATAAATATAATAATGCGTGTTTTCTAACACAAAATTGTTTTCATTTAAGTACTTACGTTCAACTATGTTTTGAATCTTGTGCATTGTGTCATGTGTGAATCTTACGTTTATCCTCGTTTGACGTCATCAATACATAAGGTAGGTAACTCTCCCGCAAGAGGGCGCGACTTTTTGGAATCGTGTACATGTATACAGTTATATGATTAACTTTAAAGGTACTCGGACACAGATTTGAAATTATTATTTTCTCTATAATAATACGACTTATATATTTTAATAGCATTTCACACAAAAATTAATTAAAAATCTTATTTCGTATAAAAGATATTAAAATTTAAATTTTGTTGGCGGGTTTGATTGACACATCCTTGCACTTTCACAAATTAATTTTATTCTTAATCCTTAGGAAAAGTGACAATCTCGTTTTGTATAAATGAAAAATATAAATACGATAAACCAGAAAATTCAGAGTAGACTTGTTCGAAAGCAAAACAAAAACAAAATATATTGTTAGTCCGTGAGTTGTGGCCAGCAGACTGTAACAATTGAACGCAACCATTGAATTGTTAACATTAACAATAGGAGAACTCGTGCCCTGTTTACAAAAACTGTGTCAATAACACGAGTCTGCTCGATTTGCTGAACTCTGTACACAACTCTTAGATCGGAATGAAAATACTTGTGAAGGAGTTTTGCTTCCTAACATTTCTACTCTGAATAAAATTATTTTTCTGAATAAAACTTTTAATATTTTTTATTCATTTTTTGAAATACACAACAAGATTGCCACTTTTCCTAAGGATTAAGAATAAGGTTAACATTTGTGTAAGTGCAAGGACGTGTCAATCAAACCCGCAAAAAAAATTGAAGTTTTAATAACTTTTAAATGAAATAAGATTTTTTATTAATTTTTGTGTGAAATGCTATTAAAAATATAAGTCGTAATATTATACAGAAAATATTGACTTCAAATCTGTGTCTAAGTACCTTTAATCTTTATAACTGTAAAGAAATACTTATGATAAATTTTTATAACTGTGTGGATTAAGAGATACTTTAATGAGTTTTTTGATTATTTAACTGCTGATTTTAAATACCTAAGGATTGGATTACATGTATCTTAATGGAATGATAGGCATGTGATCATAAAGTCGCCATTATGAATTGGCTTGAAAAAAGCCAGCTCTGTTTTTAAAATGTAAAAGGTGAAGGTTGTTCCAGAAAAAAAAACCAAAAACAATAAAAATCTGTGAATGGGTCATACAACAAAGACTTGTAATGAGAGTATAGCCCATTACCAGCAATGACTCTCATGAAAATCGCCCAGAACCTGCATATGTCCGTGAGAGAGTCTCTCAATGGACAGTCTCTCAATGCAGGCATTGGTCTGATTTAAATTAAACGTACACTAAGATACATATTTCTGTGTATCGTTTGTTTTTTGTTTCGAGTAGACCTCACTAAGAAACATATGAATGCATATCTAGTTTTGATTTCAAGGAGTGGTGTTGCCTTGGTTACTAAAAATAGAAATTTCTGTAAATTACTTTCAAAATGCTACCTCTCCTTCAGTTTAAGTCTGTAGTCTGGGGGTCTGGGTTAAGGTCGTGGACAATGTAAGACGTGTTTTTTCTGCTCCCCCGAATTGAGAGAAAAAAACATGTGATAAAGTTTCTGTGATAGATGCAACTAAATAGTATGAAGTGACATGGTGGTAGTGAGTATTGTGATTTAAAAATGATGAATTAGTGCTTGGTGAATGTGTATTTAGAGACATTTAATTTACAACACTTTACCGTCAGTGAACTGTTTTCATCGCCATTTGTACTCGTAAATAGGCATAGTCCGTTATCTATTCTTCGTCTTGAGATTAGAGTTTCAATAATATCACTCCAATTGTCAAGTTTTCTCTCAGGTCTTGATTGAATTATTTGAATCTATTCTAGGTCTTTCTGATAGTTTGCTCAATAAGATTGCTGAGTTAGAACAAAAGGTAAACGATCTTGAGGAGCGAATGGACGAAGAAGAGCAGTAATCTAGGAGGACCTGTCTAAAGATTTGTGGCATTCCCGAAACACAGAATGAGAGTACAGATACCATAGTCTTGAACGTAATAAACAACTACGTCTTAACATCAGAACATACAAAGATATCCATTGATCAAATAAGCAGAACACATAGAGAGGGGAGAGAATTCAGAGGTCAGGATTTCGGTGAAACAAAATAACAGGGTTCCAGAGATATCGTTGCCAAGTTTGTTGCTATAGAGACAAGAATAAAGTGTTCTCAAATAAGAGTAATTTAAAAACATTCAACGAAAATGAGAATAACGGCTATAAAATTTTCGTAAACGAGGCACTCACGAGACGAAGAATGGGCATTCTTTTCGAAGCACGCAAACTGGTAAGGAATGAAAGTTTAGAGGCTGTATGGTCCCACGACGATAAGATCCTTGTCAAAACCCTGGCTGGTAAAATTAGAACAATCAGAAGGGCAGAAGACTTGTCTAAAGTGATCCACAGTGCAACAGGTGCGAAGTCTATTCAAACGGAAAAGTGAATAGGTGTGCTTAATAACTGTGCTCATAATTAACTTGATGAGTCACAAAGAAACGTAATATCCCACAGAATATTCCAATTTTATTTATGGAATTTGAACTTAAACCATTTGCTCTCTTGTCTGTCTCGAAAACTGTGTTTACTTTCAACGTCGCATAGACGCTTTCTTCCGAAAGGGAAAATCCAGGTCTATTTCTAGTACACGGAAAACGTATGTATGAAACTTAACACTGACTTGTTTATTTGCAAATCTATCCCGAAATTTACAGTAATTTACTGACTCTCTCAATACTTACATGCTTAAGAATCATCTTAATCCTTTTGTGTGTATGTTTAATACTGGAGTCATGGGCTAGTAATTGTTGCTCGAATTTGTTCTATGGACACATTCAGCTACTTCACTTTTTTGGAAATTGTTTGCTTGGGTTTAAAACCTGTGAAATTTTACAGTACTTAAACAATAAACTACTGCATTGTAGCAACCTCTAATGATAAAACGCCGATTAATGATACAAATAGCATTAAGCGTTGCAATTGCAACGCTTAATGCCATTAATTATTGCATTAATAGCTGACATCATCAACCGCTAATGCTAAATCGCCGCTTAATGACAGAAGTATATCATTAAGCGTCACAAATGCAGTGCAACACCGATGCTTAATGAAACAAGCAAATATCGACATATTCGACGCTTAATTATACAGACTAGTGTTTCATTAAGCGTTGCAGTTGCAACCCTTAATAATATAAAATTTAGAAATAGCTTGTAATATCTAAGAGAAACACAAGTCCACCTTTCCTGAACATTGAGATATCACTTGTCAAAATATTTATATATCCCCTTGTGCTATATAAATCGTAATTATAGAAGTTTTACTGTGTTTTCTATCTAGTCAAGGGATATTCTTTAAGCCAGGGATGCTTAAGAGACAGACAGTCAGATAGCTGGAAGAATGAGATACAAACAAAGGGATAAATAAAATGATACTCAAATCATTTTAAAAGAACCATTTTTACTGAAAATACAGAAGCAGACAAGCAATTAAATTCCTTTTAATTTGATAAAATGATTTTAATACTCAACCTAGATATATATTTAATTATTCTAAACTTTGTATTTTAGATTTGATACAGCTTAACACATGTCACTGTTAACTTTTCAGATATACATATACGTATCGAGAAATAAATTTATTTTCACTATAATTGTATTTTTAATCTGCTTCGTTTCTTCAAATTTCGAAAAGGAGAGACATCAATATTGACAATTTATGTTTAAGTGTATAAAACTCAAAGAATACAAATGAATGCAATATATTGAATAATATATTATTTTGAGAAAAAGGTTTATTTATCCTTTATTTGTACTCAGTTTTACTTTAATACATTACTGTGCCATGATTATTTTAGAGTCAATTAAAAAAAAAAACTAATATATATATATATATATATATATATATATATATATATATATATATATATATATATATATATGTTAGTTTTAGAGTTGTTGTAAATTGTGCTTTATAATTAATAATTAATTTCATACAACATGCATTGGTAACACTCCTCTGTTAAAACTAATGTCCAAATAACTGTACCTCACTTCCATTCTCAATGACCGTGTAGTGTAGGACAGCGCCGCGAGAATTCCATCGGCATCGACAGCAAGTTTTTTAACTTGCCTAAATAGCCGAGCAGTCTAGCGCGCTGCTCCTGCACTGCTAGGAGACAGATTCCGAAGGTCGAGAGTTCAACCCCGGGCTGGGGCGGAAGTGGGTATCCATGTAAAAGTGAATTTCTTTGTACTTTCTATATTAATATTTTTTCACTTAGGGCATATATGTTAGTTTAAGAGTTGTTGTAAATTGTGATATATATATATATATATATATATATATATATATATATATATATATATATATATATATATATATATATATATATATATATATATATGTAACCAGTGTAAGTAATTAAATGTTTCAGTTTCAATGTTTTAATTATTTCTATTATGTGTGTCTACGTTTGTTTTGTCAAGTGTGAATGTCCACGTGTGAGTGTTTACATTTGTAAGGTGTGACGTATTTGACCATTTCCTGTTTGACCAGTTACTATTAATAACTTTTCACTAACTTTCCCGCGGCTTACCATTTTCGTGCACACTCGGCGCTACACCCTTGACGGGAATAGTCATATCTATCTACAGTAGCTGATTTATATAGTGTGCCTGGTAAATATATTTATTACTTATCTATATCTTATTATATTTGTAATTTAAAAGTAAAGTCAGTAAGGATTTGTAAATGTTTATTAATTATAATGACTTTATTTCAGGTTTTTATTATATTTCAATCAATAAATGATATACTTGTCAAACCACCACTGATTGACTTGTGTCTTAATTGATGTTCATAATGAACCCAAGTACCGACATGGTCTACAAATGGCGCCCACATTAATGAAAAACCAGGTATACAAGACTGAGGATCCATTGGAAAATCTCCGGGGAGCGGATTGGCAAGAAGGCGGGTACATATAGAGAAGTCGCCGACCTTTTCATTACGTTCCATATCCAGTGAAATATAGAGGCCTAGATTCAACATATATATGTGTGTATGGAATTTATGGATCTTTTTCTAAACAGCTGTGAGTGTTGTGTTGTGTTTTGAACTGGTCGACCGTTGAAAAGGTGTAGCTATTCCACCTAAAAATTAAAAGAAAGATTTCAACATTATATTTCTGGTTTCTGAGGTCATAAGTCTGTAATATAAAAGGTATAAGCATACTTTTCCTTAAATTATACGGAATAAAGTAAATACTGATGCCAAAATATACCCAAACAATGACAACTTCTAGCACCTACGAGAGCAAAGCAAGAAAGACAACTTCGAAATGAATCTCGAGCGCGATTGAAATAAAGGAGATCTCCAAATGACTGATTTTCATGTTTTCAATAATATTCAATTGAAAAAAATAGGAAATATGTGATAATTAGTAAAAAATATACTAAGTTTACTCCCTTTTATAAACTTGTAACGCTTCATTCTACATAAATCACAACATGACAAATATGTCTCCGATCCCGATGAAGACACATTTTTAAATAAATATTGTGGGAATTTGTGGGACTCTCTAGAAAACAATTTTAGTCATGAAAAAATAAATAAATATGTTAAAAATCGTTAGAAGTACTTAACGGTACTTAACACTAGACCTTAAATGAATATGTGAAAACTTTCGCGTATGCTGTGTTATTCATTGAAAGTTCATTTTATTCAAAGTATCTTTATGAAATGATTGTTATGTACATTAAGAGAAATAATATATTATAAAAACTTCCTGTTACTTTGTTGCCGGATGACCAAGCGTCTTTTCCATTCTAATTGAACACTCAATAAAACACAAGTCCAAAAAGGTTTCAAATGTATATTCTGTTTTTAAAATTACAATGATTCACTGGAATCGTACACGTAGTGTTCCTCGTTGCGCACACTCCCCTCTCGGGTTTGGGACCTACTCATAAAGAAACAATACACAATATTAAGTTACAAGTTACTAAACAAGTTATTACACAAATGGTTAACCATACTTTACACATAGCTTATATCTTTAGCATATAGCTTATAGCATATAGCAGTACTGCGTTTTATACACACTTGCACTTAATTACTCGTTACACTTATCCAACACTACACATACTCAAGTAGAGCTATACTTAAACATACACTAAATACTTTTATGAAACGTTACACTAACGGAACACCATACTTGAAAACTAGCGAACTTTTACAACACAACTATTTATGGACTTTTGCGAAGACACTGACTTTTACAGTTGACGGCTTACTTTTACAACAGGAAAATATACGGTAGCTCTTTTGTGGAAAAATATTGATCTAAATATTTAACAAAAAGATAATAACGGGCTTTTCAAAGATCATATTACGTTATCTAGGACGAAAACGGCAATATTCCTACCCTCAACACTCTCCCTTAAAGTCTTGACTAACTTCTGCCGAGTTTTCCTACCGAAATATGTCTTCTTCTTTATTCAGTTATTTCATTTCTGAAGTTATTTAAAATAAAAGGATATATTTAATTCTCGTGAATAAAGTATCCAAATAAATTTTATTTTACCATCAATTATAATTTTTGTTTGATAAATTATTTCTAAGCCCCGAATACAATATCTTTCACCTCTTGTGATGTTTTCTATTTTCTTTTTTCAATTCCGTACCTCCGTACATGACACAGGTTTAAATGTCCAAGTAAGCTGTCGAATGTAAAAGTAAGTCTTTTCATAAAACTCCAACAGAAACGAAAACTATACAAACTCGCTGAACATATTGAACAATTTCAACATTTACGGAATATTAAACACAATTAAAAACATGCTATTTGAACAAAATTACCCAGGACCTCAATATTAACAAAACTGAATAAAAGAATAATTAAACTCGTACTCACCTCAGAAGCTGAGTGTCTGTATCTAATAAACTTGTACTCAGGAAATATTGTTGAAATTATCTCAAATTTAACTGGCTAAGGATGGAATTCACGCATTTACAAAATTATCAAAGACCCGTGCATGTTCTAGCGTGACACGGCAGGAAAAAGAGACTGGTTTACTCAACCGTGCCTGTTAAATAGACTTGAAGAATTGAGGTTCCACAAAGGATAAAATAGTAGAGGTCACCTACAGGATAACTGAGTATCATACAAATAAAAACATACATGTAGAGTAAATGTGACATACTTACTTAATCAGTTACTTCCGATTGACATTGCTAAGATCCAGTTTATTCACTTTCATATCAATGTTTACTTTACATAACAAATTCGAACGAATTGTGCCTGCCATATGTTACTATTTTTAGATACAATGGCGTCAAGTGGAACAGCTAAAAGGTGTTTCGTATCATTGTGATTATTCACAGGCAGATCCCGAGAGGCGAATCCGAGAACTTCCGGAACCGTGACGTCACAGATGCGCGCAGCGAAGCAAAAACCGACCAGTCTATGAACAACGTGTTGTGAATTAGTCTGCGGAGCAATCCTAGCAAAGGTACTGTAAACAATTGTGCAAACCAATGGTCATTTTCTTGTGTGATTCTATGTGCATTTATGTCATATTTGTTTGTGCAAGTGATTGTCTTTGTCTTATGTATTGTCTGTACTGAAAACTGAGGTCTAGTGTAAAAAGGGAATTCCCAAGGTCTATTTTTGTTTCTATTTATAGTAAGCAAATCTGTTTGTAAACTTTTGGCTGTAGTAGTGTATTTTTTTCTTTTTCAGGTTTATAATTGTTTGTTTTGCAAATTATTTTTGTATTTATTTATTTTTTTTCATTGTAAGTTCAATATTTATACTTTATTTATTTATATTGTTATAGGTAGCTGAAATTTTCTTTTGGTAGTCTGTTTGAAAAATTAGGTAGCAGCAAGCCGAGTTCACTTTCTAACCAGCATGCAGGCATTGCACTAATCAATCTAATTTCTTTCAGTCCATTTGACCAGTAGACAGACCTACGGAGCAGAGAGTTATTGTGTGTGTGTCTGTATGTATTGTGAGTGTGTTAGTGGTTTTGAATTTTAGGAATGTCATCAGATGTCTGAGATGATTAGGTACAGAATTATTTAAACTGGGTATCATAAGTTGAATTAATCCATCTTTAAAGTATTCAACAGAATACATATTACCAGGTAACTTAATTAAGAGTTGATTAAGATTTATTTCATCAGTTAACAGTTGCTGTGATTGTATGTTGAAGGTGTAATGATCTGTTGTTGTGTTGAGGTGCTCAGTTAAAGAGTTGTATACTCAGTTGTTGGGTTGTAGTTGTGAATATTTATTTTATATCAGTTCAGTGTACAGAAGTGTTCAGTTGGTGTAAATATTTGTTATAAAGTGACAGCAGTTGTTTGTAGAAATGTCTGATCAAGATAAACAAAAGGGTAGTGAGGATGTGTCCTCAGCAGAGGAAAAGAAACTTGATTTTGCTGGTGTTGCAACTAGTACCCCCCAAACCACAAAAGAAGGTAACCCTTCAAAAACCACAAAAGATGGTAAAACTACAAAAACCACAAAAGATGGTGACCCTATAAAAACATCAAAAGTCAGTGACCCTATAAAATCAGAGGTATCTGTACCTTCGGATCAGAGTGCAAAACCAAAGGTATCTGTACCTGATTACAATGCACCGGCTTTGAATCAGGGACAGAAACCCAATCCTTTTGCAAAGTTAGCATGTAACTTTGGTGATGCTAGTACCAGCAACAGCAAACTTCAGAATACCTTTTATGACAAGGATGGTAATAGCATTAATCAGGTGTATGAATTTAATACAAACATCCCAAGAATCCCACAATTCTCGGGGGATGACCCTCCTCAAAAAGGGGATGTATCATACAAGGAGTGGAGATTCGAAGTGCAGTGCCTGATGCGTGACCCTGATGTTAAATCAAATATTCTGATACAAAGTATTAGACGGTCATTGAGGGGTACAGCAAAAACAATGTTGATTCCGTTAGGTAAGAAAGCAGGTGTTAAGCAAATTTTAGATAAACTTGACATTTTGTTTGGTGAAATTTCCAACAATGGCATGATTATGCAAGAATTTTTCAATGCTTTCCAACTACCGGGTGAGTGCGTAACATCATTTGGTTGTAGACTGGAAAAGATGTTACAAAATGCTATCGATAGTGGGTATCTTGATCGTGCATCTAAGAATGACTTGTTAAGACATAAGTTTTGGACTTCATTGAGTTCAGAGAAGCTTAAGGCTCAAACGAGACATAAATATGATGATATCAAGAGTTATGACAGGTTGTTGTTAGAGATTAGAAGGGTAGAAAAAGAAATCTTGATAAGTTCTAGCATTTCAGAGAAAAAGCCAGTTCATCAGCATGGAATGTCAGTATCTGAATACTTAGAGGAGAAGTTAATGGAGAAGATGAGAAACATGGAAACAAAATTAGAAGGTAAGATAAATGACAAGTTCAACCAGATACTAGAGAAATTGGATGGTAGAACTAGTAATGTATCAGATAGAGCTAATGAAAACAGAGGTAGGGGTGGTTACTACAGAGAACGTGGAGCTTGGCGAGGCAACTCTAATCAATATCGAGGTAATTCCAATGACAGAAGGTTGAATGCAGGTCGAGGTCAAGGTCAGAGACGGGGTCAAGGAGGAAATACAGGTAATTATAACCCAAACGCCCAGAGGTCTCTGATGAAGGCCGACCGGGGACCAGGATTTCATGTGAAGGCCAGCAGTTAAAATGCAAAATGATTGGTGAGTCAAATGAGACTATTGTTTTTATGAATGATAATTCTTTTACAGGTCTTGTTGACAGTGGATCAATGGTAACAACATTGTCATTTTCAGGTTACAATTCCATGACAAATCAACCAGAGTTAAAGGATTTATCTAACCTGGGTTTAGAGGTGTCTGTCGCAGATGGTTCTCTATTGAAATACAAGGGATATATAGAGTGTAGTGTAAAAATTCCATTTATGGATGTAGAGTTATTTGTCCCTGTTTTAATTGTACCAGACACTGATTTCAATAGAACATGTCCTATGATCATTGGAACTAATGTGTTGAGAATTTGTAGAGATTTGTTGGGTGAAGATTCCAATGAAATGAAAATAGCTCCAAAGGAATGGAGAGTAGCATTAAAGAGTATGCAGGGTAAGTGTTACCATGTCAAATCAGTGTGTAAGAAACCCATTATAGTACAACCAAATGAATCTACTGTAGTTAAGGGCCGTGTTAGAGGTTTACCGGGTAACAACATGACAATGGTTTCTGAAAACTGTGATAATATGAATAGGTTTACAGTTTGTCCAAGGGTAGTTAAGTTTTCTACACCTAATACAAAGTCTACAGTGCAAGTCAAGATTTGTAATATATCTGCTAAACCCATATCAGTTAGGCATGGCACTGTACTTTGCAATCTCCAAGAGGTGAAGGTTGTAGATAATTTTCCTGCATTAAAACCCAAATCTGAGGTGTGTGACCCTATTGAACTTGGAATTAAGGTTGACTCAAGTGTTCTCACTGAAGATCAGTTCAATACTGTGAGAAATATCTTAAAAGAGTACAGTCACATATTTTCAACAGGTCCATTAGATCTTAGAAGAACTGATCTAGTCAAACATTCGATAGAATTAGAGGACAGAAAACCGTTTAAACAACCGTATCGCAGAATTCCTCCGGGAATGTATGAGGAAGTCCGCCAACACGTGCGCGAGATGTTAGATGCCGGAGTCATTCGCGAATCTAATAACAATTATTCCTCAAACGTGGTACTGTGTCAGAAAACAGACGGATCATTGCGGTTTTGTCTTGACATGAGAATGCTTAACTCAAAAACTCGAAGGATTGCTATATGCTTCCTCGGTTTGATGACGTCATAGATACCCTGTATGGAGCCAAGTTTTTCAGCAAACTCGACCTACGATCGGGCTATTGGCAGGTTGAAATTGAGGAGAAAGATCGGCACAAAACAGCATTTTCGGTAGGTAATTTAGGTTTCTATGAGTGCAACAGGATGAGCTTTGGATTAACAAATGCTCCTGCAACTTTCCAAAGATTGATGGAGAAGTGCATGGGAGATATGCATTTAAAAGAATGTTTAATCTTTTTGGATGATGTGCTCATATTTTCAAAAACTTTTGAAGAACATTGTATTAGACTTAAAAATGTGTTTTTAAAATTAGCTCAACATGAATTAAAATTAAAGCCATCAAAATGTGAACTATTCAAAACTTCTGTTACTTATTTGGGACATGTAATTTCAGAAAGTGGTATTCAAACAGACCCAGAGAAATTATCCGCTGTTCGTGATTGGCCCACACCTTCCAACATCAAACAACTCCGCCAATTCCTAGGATTTGTGGGATACTATAGGCGCTTCATTGAACATTTTGCCGAGATAGTAGCTCCATTAAATGCTTTACTTCAAGGACATGGTGTGAGTACCAAGCAGAAGAGGAAAAAGAAGACAAATAAAGCAGTCAAGTGGCAGTGGAGAGAGAGAGAAGAAGAGGCATTCCAGACAGTAAAGAGCAAGCTACTAGAACCCCCTATACTGGGATTTGCCAATTACAAATTGCCATTCATCTTACATACAGATGCTAGCATTCATGGATTAGGGGCTGTTCTTTACCAGGTTCAGCAAGGTAAGAAAAGAGTAATAGCCTATGCCAGCCGAGGTTTGAGGTCGAGCGAGCGGAACTATCCAGCTCACAAACTGGAGTTCTTGGCACTCAAGTGGGCGGTCAGTGATAAATTTCATGATTATCTTTATGGTACTTCTTTTCAAGTGATCACTGATAATAACCCCCCAACCTATGTGCTCTCTAAAGCCAAGCTAGATGCTACTAGCCAAAGGTGGGTTGCTGCTTTAGCAGGCTATGATTTTACTATAGCATACAGACCTGGTCAGCAGAATGCTGATGCAGATGGGTTGTCTAGGAAGCCGGAGCTCTTCTCTGATGCTATTAAGGCCATATGTCAGTCAGTATTATGTGGTGTTCCATATTGCCAGACAATTATAGATGACTCTTTATCAGATTCAGCTTGTTTTGAGGATGAAGAATCCCATTATCTTAGTGACATTCACTGGAGAAGAGAGCAGGAGAAGGACAAGGATCTAGCAAGAGTTATAGAGTTGAAGAAACAAGGATTTTATCACAATAGAGTGAAGATGAAGAAAGAAGATTATTCAGTCCAGAGATTTTTCCGGGAATGGAAGAAACTTTATTTGAAAGATGGAATTCTCTACAGGAAGGCAATTATAGATGAAAGAGAGGTAAGTCAGCTGGTGATCCCAAAGGTATATCGTGAGGTAGCTTTCCAAGGTATTCACAGAGATACAGGTCATCCTGGGAAGGAAAAGACATTGTGGTTAGCTAGGCAAAGGTATTTTTGACCAGGGTTGGAAAGGGAGATAATGGAGAAAATTGAAAATTGCCCTAGGTGCATAAGACGTAAAACTCAAGCAAGGCCTTTTGCTGAGTTAGTTCCTATTGAGACCACACATCCAATGGAATTGGTTTGTATTGATTTTTTGAGTCTTGAAAGAAGTAAAGGAGGGACTGAGGATATATTGGTCATTACTGATCATTATACGCGCTTTGCACAGGCCATACCATGCCACAACCAAAAGGCTACCGTGACAGCAAAAGCCCTATATGAGAATTTCTTTTTACATTATGGATTTCCGGAAAAGCTACACAGTGACCGGGGCAGGAAGTTTGAGTCTAAAGTTATCAAGGAGCTCTGTAAGCTGCTAGGAATTCAGAAAACCCGCACGACACCTTACCATCCGATGGGCAATGGATCGGCAGAGAGGTTTAACCAAACACTGTTGAAGATGCTGGGTACCTTGGATCCCAAACAGAAGACTGACTGGAAACAACATGTTGCTCCCTTGGTTCAGGCATACAACGCTACAAGGAGTGATGCGACAGGTTTTTCCCCACACTACTTGATGTTTGGATGGAGTCCACGATTGCCTATAGATTCTTTCCTTGGACTTGATCCTGGAAATGAAGGTGATGTAAATCCAAGAGGATATGTGAAAAAGCTGCAAGAGAGAATGAAATCAGCTTATGCAGTAGCATCTGAAGAGGCAAGAAAGTCAGGTCTAAAGAACAAACAGAGGTATGATATGAAAGTAAGAGAGACCAAGTTAGAGCCAGGAGATAGAGTTTTGGTAAGGAATGTCGGTCTAAAGGGTAAGAGAAAGTTGGCTGACAAGTGGGAGGAAACTATTTATACTGTTAAGGAAATGCCAAACTCAGATGTTCCTGTGTTTAGAGTGAAAGCTGACGGTAAAACAGGCAGAACCAGGACTCTGCATAGGAATATGCTTCTTCCTTATTCTGGATTTCAAGAGGGGGAGGAAGTGCAGTATAAACAACAGAACAGTAGACAGAAACAGACAAAGAAAGAAAGCGGGGATAGACAGGTGCCAGCAGCGACAAAAGATTCATCAGATTCATCAGAAACAGAGAGTGACACAGAAGATTGGACTGTGAGAAGAGTTGTGAGGACCAGATCTATGGGTGACAAACCTGTACAGCCCTCATCTATTCAAGATGTTTCATCAGTAGTTGATGAAGGTCATAGTTATTCAGGTATTAGTCTAAGTGACAATGATTTCAATAATGGTAATTATTCTTTATCATTTCAGTCCTCAGGGGTTAACGATTCAAGCCATAGTAGAAATGAGCCAAGTCCAACTTCAGAGAGTGTACCTGATGTGTCACAGGAAACTATGCCCGTACGACGGTCAACAAGAATTAAGAAGCAGCCAGACAGATATGGTGAATGGATAAGTTAAAAAAAAATAGACAGTCGGAGTTAAGTGATTAGTGAATTCAGTGAATTCAAGGACTTCTTAAGTGAAGATAGTGTTTTATTTTTGTTTTTTATGACTTATGTGAATATTTTTCTAAATAAATGAATCTATGAATGAATTGAACTGATGCATGTTGTTTATGCAAGATAAACAATTGATACTGTAATTTTACTGTGTAACCTTATTGAACCCCCATCATCATTTGATACTTGATGAAATTTAATGTTTAATCTGAGATTGAATTGGACATATTCATTTGATATCAGGTGGTTCAGTTGATATGATTCTTGGACAGTAATGTCGAGGTCTTGTGTGTCAAAGGTTTTGGCAGATTGGGTTTTCAGTTTCAGTGAGTTGCCTTTTGGTGATGCATTTATGGATTCACATGGTGTTTGATTATTTTATTTGGTTTGATTTTAATTTTATGTTTATTTGCTGGATTGTTGAATTTGTTGTACATAGATATTGAGTGATTCAGCACTTTAAATTAAAACATTTGCCTGATATTTATTTTCAGAGAATGTCAGGAGCCATTTAATAAAAGGGGGGAATATGTAACCAGTGTAAGTAATTAAATGTTTCAGTTTCAATGTTTTAATTATTTCTATTATGTGTGTTTACGTTTGTTTTGTCAAGTGTGAATGTCCACGTGTGAGTGTTTATGTTTGTTAGGTGTGACGTATTTGACCATTTCCGGTTTGACCAGTTACTATTGGACTTTTACGAGGAGCGCTGACTTTTACAGTTGACGATTACTTTTACACTTGATCTAATGTACGGTAGCTCTTTTATGATATAAATATTTAGCTCAACATTAATTAAACGAAAATAACGGGTTGTTTCAATGCTCATACAAGTTTTCCTCGAAGAAAACGGTAACCACCTTACCCTCACCTCCTTGTCTTCACATGTAAGTGCCCCTAACACCATACCTATGACCACTATAAAGGTTTTCTTATGCAATATCAATTCTGTACTTCCGTACTTGATACAAGTTTAAATGTCCAAGTAAATCGTCAACTGTAGAAGTCAGCGCTTCTCGTAAAAGTCCATTAATAACTTTTCACTAACTTTCCCGCGGCTAACAATTTTCATGCACACTCGGCGCTACACCCTTGACGGGAATAGTCATATCTATCTACAGTAGCTGATTTATATAGTGTGCCTGGTAAATATATTTATTACTTATCTATATCTTATTATATTTGTAATTTAAACGTAAAGTCAGTAAGGATTTGTAAATGTTTATTAATTATAATGACTTTATTTCAGGTTTTTATTATATTTCCATCAATAAATGATATACTTGTCAAACCACCACTGATTGACTTGTGTCTTAATTGATGTTCATAATGAACCCAAGTACCGACATGGTCTACAAATATATATATATATATATATATATATATATATATATATAATTACCAAATTATAAAAATCATGTCGAATGAAGTTCACATACTTCATTTTGTAGTATATTTGCCTGTCTGTCTGTAAACAATTTTTCAAAATGCTACTCCTTCTGCAGTTTTGGTCTGATTTCAATATAACTTGGCACACAAATAGACTACACTAAGATACTTAATTTCTGTATCGATTTTCGATTTCTGTGAACGGTGTTGCCTTAGTTACTAAAAATAGAAATAATATAATAAAATGCTATTTATCCAACATGATTTCAAAATAACTAAGCTCACATGTAGACTAAACTTTAAGATATCGGTTTTTGATTTCGATGAACGGTGTTGCCGTGGTTACTAAAATAGAAATTTCTGTGAAATACTTTCAAAATGCTTATCCTCCTACAGTTTTAGTCAGATTGTAATATAATTTGGCATGCAAGTAGACTATACTGGCATACACTATAATCAGTTTCGTGTTTTTGATTTTGTTGATTGATGTTGCCATGGCAACTAAAATTGGAAAATACTGTAAAATTTTATTGAAAGCTATTACTACAGTTGTAGTTTTATTGCAATCTTGCTATAAAAATAGACTTAATTAAGGACCGTCATTCTTTTTATTGCTTTTGTTAAGTTTAAAGCCCCAACTGCTACTTTTTTCTTCCTTGATTATAAGTAAGTACAAACGAGTAGAGCTATCGTCTCGACAGAAATATATTTTTTTTCTTTCGATGTATAAAACTAAGTTTACATCTGACTCATATTATAATGAAATAGATTTAAATGAATAGTTTTTTCGGTTCAAGAGAGACCCTAGTATTCATTCCTTTTTCATTATTCTTTCAGAAAAATGGTCCAGTTCCTAAACAAATGTTGGAACCATTTTCCGAGTCTTAACCTTGAAATATAATGAAATATTAAGAATAAGAATAAAAACATAACTACATCAAAGTTTCTAAGTCTTTACTATTGTTGATTACGTTCCAAAGTTTTCACTGTTGTAAATCAATGTTTCAAAGTTTTAACTATAGCAAATCAAAGTTCAAAAGTTTTCACTATAAATAGTAAATTTAAGTTTCTAAATGTTTACTTTGGTACTTTAGTACTTAGAAATACTGGGAAAAAATGTCTTGTGAAAAACGACATTATTTTCTTGTTAAAACGAGATATTATCTTGTGAAAACGACTTATTATCTTGTGAAAACGAGATATTATCTTGTTAAAAACGAGATATAAATATCTTGTGAAAACGACTTATCTTGTGAAAACGAGATATTATCTTATGAAAACTACTTATTATCTTGTGAAAATGAGATATTATCATGTGAAATGAGATAACATCTCTTTTTCAAAAGATAATTTCTCGTTTTCACAAGATATTTTGTCGCTTTCACAAGATATTATGTCGTTTTCACAAGATAATTTTTTTCCTTGGTATTTAAAAAAAATAATTGCGATTTCTAAATATACCACAGTATTTTTTTTACGACAGCTGTGAAAAAAAATGCCTCAGTTTGTCCTCCAATGTAATATCACCGACTTTCTCATCGAAATAAAACGAAAAGCAGATCAAACTACACTGTAGTTAATAAGTTTTCAATTTAGGGAGAAGTAATGAGACAAAGTATGTTTGTAAGCGTCGGGATGGGGTGGGGTTATTTACATTAATAAATATTTTATGTTGGTTAAAGTAGGATTCTTCTCACATTTCTTGTATTTGAAAATTAATGAAATTTTCACTGAATCTAGAGGACAATATCACTAAGTGATGGTATCAGTGTGATTTAATTTGACCATTTAATATTAGAGGCAAGGTCAGGTCAAGGACATTACTTTTTTCCTGGGCATTAAGGTCAGACGACACGTTCCTTAATAATATGTTTTGTATCTCTTGGAATAAGATAAAAAATATTCATATTTGGCATTCTCTTCTGATTTCAACATTGTTTTTAAAAACGTTTTTAAATTTAGGTACACCAAAAATAGTGAGATAGGCCGTTTAGAAAGATTACCCATAAGGGTTTAGAAATATGAACCTTTGGTATCTTGTTCAAATGGCTGGTAAGGTACCCTTATTATTATGCGAGGAATTGTCTTTAAGTACCTGTTCTTCAATGACAATCTCTTAAATATATATATATATATATATTTTAGGAACGTGTC